CATCAGTGCGCACCAACCCCTCTCGCCCTCCACGCTTCAGGAAGCTATCCGCAAGCCTCGCGTGCCCGGCCTGAGGTCCCACCAGGCATGCGAGGCTTGGGGCAGCAGCCTGCAGCCCAAAGCACGGGGCGCGCTGCGGAGCACGCCCCATGCTTCGGGCAGATGTCCACAAGCCTTGTGCATCCTGCGGGAGGTCCTGCTGGGTGCGCAAGGCTTGGGGCGGCGGAGCACGCCCCGTGCTTCAGGCAGATGTCCGCAAGCTTCGCGCGCCCAGTGGGAGGTCCCGCCGGGCTCGCAAGGCTTGCAGGCAGCAGCCTGTTCTGGGGGCTGGGGTTGGGGGAAGCTCGGGCTTCCCCCACGCCAGCCCAGCGCCTGGGGGGCAAATAATTTTTTTTCTTTATTCCCCCCCCCAAAAAAACTAGGTGCGTCCTATGGGGCTAAAAATACGGTACTTCTGCCAAAAATCTTTCAACATAGGTTTTAAAGGTAAAGGTAAAGGTACCCCTGCCCGTACGGGCCAGTCTTGACAGACTCTGGGGTTGTGCGCCCATCTCACTCAAGAGGCCGGGGGCCAGCGCTGTCCGCAGACACTTCCGGGTCACGTGGCCAGCGTGACAAGCTGCTCTGGCGAGCCAGAGCCGCACACGGAAACGCCGTTTACCTTCCCGCCAGTAAGCGGTCCCTATTTATCTACTTGCACCCGGGGGTGTTTTCGAACTGCTAGGTTGGCAGGCAACATAGGTTTTAGAGAAGCATTATTCCTATTGCATTTCCAACAGTTAGATACCTTAGACAGCCCTTTTTAAAACAAATGTAATGGGATCCATTATAATCTAAATATTTTTTGTTGTTGTATGAGCCTCAATTTAAGGTCTAGAGATGCCCCTGTTACAGCACATAAAACAGTTTCCCACTGTGTGGTCGAAACTGAGATCTCTAATTCTTTATTCCATTCCTCCCTCAGTACCTGTATATCAAATTGGTTTGCTAGTAACAAAGATTTATATATGTTGATGGTCACTTTTTTTTGTTGCATAAGAATTAATCAACTGCTTCAATATCTCTGGGGTCTCTGAGGCTGTAAAAGCTGCTGGTCCATAGATGCTGGTTAGCAAGTTTTTTCATCTGCCATTGAGCATTTGTAGGTAATCTGTATTTGTGTCTTAAGACGGTATATGTACCTAAGAGAACCTCAGCTTATTGTCTGCTATCTTCTCCGACCTTCAAACTTGAGACAGTGACCAGATGCAAAGTCCATGACTCCACCATCAGCCAATTTTCCCCACCCCTGGCTCCCCATCTAAACCAGTCTCCACCAACCTGGTGCCTTCTAGTTGTTTTGAACTACAAGTCCCATAAAACCCTGATCAGAATGGCCATTGGTCGACCAAATACAAGATGGGGGACACCTGGCTTGAGAGCAGTACATGTGAAAAGGATCTAGGAGTCTTGGTTGACCACAAACTTGACATGAGCCAACAATGTGACGCGGCAGCTAAAAAAGCCAATGCAATTCTGGGCCTGCATCAATAGGAGTATAGCATCTAGATCAAGGGAAGTAATAGTGCCACTGTATTCTGCTCTGGTCAGACCTCACCTGGAGTACTGTGTCCAGTTCTGGGCACCACAGTTCAAGAAGGACACTGACAAACTGGAACGTGTCCAGAGGAGGGCAACCAAAATGGTCAAAGGCCTGGAAACGATGCCTTATGAGGAACGGCTAAGGGAGCTGGGCATGTTTAGCCTGGAGAAGAGGAGGTTAAGGGGTGATATGATAGCCATGTACAAATATATAAAAGGATGTCACATAGAGGAGGGAGAAAGGCTGTTTTCTGCTGCTCCAGAGAAGCGGACACGGAGCAATGGATCCAAACTACAAGAAAGAAGATTCCACCTAAACATTAGGAAGAACTTCCTGACAGTAAGAGCTGTTTCGACAGTGGAATTTGCTGCCAAGGAGTGTGGTGGAGTCTCCTTCTTTGGAGGTCTTTAAGCAGAGGCTTGACAACCATATGTCAGGAGTGCTCTGATGGTGTTTCCTGATTGGCAGGGGGTTGGACTCAATGGCCCTTGTGGTCTCTTCCAACTCTATGATTCTATGATTCTATTCTATGATTCTATGACCTAATATGGATTTTGGAATTTACCTCAAGGGCTAAAATAGCTACCTTTTAATGTCCATTTATCTTATACAAGTGTGGTTGATATTGTTATTGGATTTACCTCTGCTGTTCTTTTCTAAGTGCATTTTTAAAATTTCATTTTCTACAACAACGCAGCCTGAAAAACCACGGCAACAACCTGTGGATGATGAAATTGTGGAAGGAAATCAGACACCCATCCTTTAGTTTGCAAGAGGCATGGCGGACCCACGGCTGGCCATTCAGTCACCATCTTGGTGGGCAAATACATCTCAAGGTATAACATTTCACCGCACGCTTTCACAGAAGCCCTGAGTGGGTTGGCTTGACTCCATGCCCTGCAGAAATCTGTGGCAAAGCTAGGTACTGACAGACAAATCCGCATTTCCTGTTTCCGAGGTCTGTGGTCTAACCACAAGGTTCTTGTTCCCTTTTGAGTACTAAGGTGCCGCCCCTAGAACAAGTCATTGTTCCTATTGCTTTCCCATCCATGCGGGTATCAAGGGCTATGCCAGCGGCTAAGCTTGCACGATTCTCCAGTTTCAATCAGATAATCATGCAATTCGCAAGATCCCAGCTGTTAAATCGGAAAACTGTGATATCGTGTGTGCGATCTGCTCAAAGAGCCATACGTTCAAACTACCTTGATTCATTTGAAGGTAGTTATGGAACAAAATACTCCATCATTTATTTTTAACTGCTGGTTGCAGCTGATAGGAGTTGCAGCCCAAACATGTGGGAGGCACCAGGTTGGCAAAAGCTGGTTTTTCAACTGTAACAGGATTTTCACACAAGGAATGTATCGATAACACAATGCTCCTTTGTTTCCTTGCTAGTTCATTTATTTGGATGTGAATCTGGCTGATCATATTGAGTGGAAAGCCATTAAAGACCCTTTTGTGCACATGAAAGAATGCAGTTGAGGTGCATAACAGGGCTCCTTGTGTGCAAGGGCTCTGCACAGGATCTGGGTCGAATCTTGATTGAACTCCAGATTGAACCCACAGGACACCAAATGCTGCTAACCCTAACATACATAGAATAACAAAGTTGGAAGGGGTCCTGAGAATCATCTCGTCTGACCTGTGCAATGAGGGAATCTCAGCTAAAGCATACATGACAGATGGTCATTCAACCTCTGCTTAGAAACCTCCAATGTAGAAGAGCCCACTACCTTCCAAGGGAGTCCATTCCACTGTCAAATAGCTCTTACTGGCAGAAAGATCTTCTGGATATTGAGTTGGAATCTCCTTTCTTGAAGCCATTGGTTGGAGTCCAATGAAAACCAAAGAGAAAACCAGGAGAAAGCAAGCTTGCTCCGTCTTTTATGTGACAGCCCTTTAGATATTTGATATCCTCTCACTAGCCTCTTTTCCAGGCTCAACATCCCCGACTCCTTCAACCGTTCCTCATAAGGAATCCATGGCAGACAACTGCAGTACCCAGAGACAGACTGTCAGGTCATGTGTCCATACTAGTGACCAGAGGAGGAGTAACCGCTGGGAGGAGTCCAGAAAGAAGAAATGCCATGGTACATCTGTATCAGCACAACTGGATGCCTTCATCTGCCCCAGCTGCAACAAAACACGTCTCTCCCATATTAGTCTCTACAGCCACAGCAAATGCTGCAACCTTCCAACAGTTTGACTTTACCCACAAAGGCACACTCCTCCCTTGTATTCTGAGACAGACGTCAACAACAAAGATGTTTGTATCTTTGCATTTAGACATTTCTTAAAATATCATTACCAAATTTCCCATGATGATTCCTGAGATTGAAGAACAGGTTTTATCTATGTTTGGATACAACTGGATAACATTTTGAAACAATATGGTAGACAGAACCTTTCAGCACTGCTCTCATTTTAACCAGGGATTTCAAAACTCTACTTTTTGGGGGTTTCTTGGAATTCCCAAGAAGCATAAGGCACTTTCTGCTGAAAATAACTGACATTAATGTTCCTAATGGCATGTCCAAGCAATGGCTACTTATGTGATCAGTTTGGTACCGGAGCACATCATTTGACACGCACACAGCAAGAAATAACTTGGTATAAGGCAGCTATGTCACTAACAGAAGGCATATCAAGCCCTGGACTGCAATAATAAGCTAGATGGACCAGGGGCCTGACACAGTATAAGACAATTTCCTGTGTTCCTGTATCACAGGCTGAACCTACTTGAACTCTACAAAATGGATGGGTTTGCCAATAAAGAATTTTCAGCCCCCATCACAGCATGACAATTTCAACAGTTCCTGGAGGGAAGCCCTGCTAGGTCAATCAGTTTTCCCTCTGTTTATGTTTATGGTGCAGATTCTCCCAATGTGCTATAAATATCGGCTATGCCACATTAATGTATCTGATTTGGCCTGGCATTAGCAGACACCTGCATGTAGAACATGGAGGAACAGAGTACATAAGAAGGGACCTGCAGGATCAGGCCAATGGCCCATCTAGTCCAGCATCCTGTTCTCACAGTGACCCACCCAGAGGGCTCTCCTCTAGCCAGAACCTTTGGAGTGAGCTCCCATTTCCCAATGGGAGAGGCCTCTGACACCCGCCTGGAGTCTGACTCTCTCATTGATGCTTGGAAGGACCAGCATAGACTTTTTTGTTGGTATTGGAAAGGGGTGTGGAATCTCTTTCAGCCGGATGGGTAGCCGCACTCTGATGTGGGCAATGATACAGGTGGCCACATACTAGTGGTGGGCAGGACAAGAGGCAGAATTAGGTAGCGCAATGGATGCAGCTCCTACCTTTGTTCAGTAGGCCTTGGTCTAGCCATGCAAAAGTCAGACACACATCTCCATCCTAGCAGAGATGTGGCATTATTACAGTTCAAAGACACACTGCAACCAAGCATAAGCACTTGAGGAGGGCCCAGAGCAGGAGGGTCAGTGGGGGCTGTGGAGTGGGGAGAGTGCATGACCAAGGGAGAGTCTTGTGGGTCAAATTGAGAGGCCTGGAGAGCCACCTTCTGCCCATGGGCCTAAGGTTCGCCACCCCAGTGTAGGAACAAAAGCAAAAGCACCATCAGCTGCCCCAAACCATGACAGAGGAAAGGTTCCATGCGGGGAGGGGTCTCTGTGATGGAGAGGAAGGTGGGCCACTGGCACCCTGGTGCCCAAGAGCCCACAAACCCCTGTATCTGATACCCAAAGTAAGTGGCAATTATGAAGGTTAATGCTTTGCATAAGCAATGCCTGTGTAATGAGGAATGAAAAATGATGAATCTGATTTTAAAACTAGCCATCTGTTACAGACTATTGAGCCAGGCTGTGACACTGAGGTGCTGAGCAGCAGAAAGGGGAAAAAGCTTTCTTATACCAAACTTGCAGAGAGAGAAAGGCAGAGAGCCATAAGACTGTCAGGTCCAGTAGCTAAACTGAAGCCAGGTCTGGCTGATGTAATTTATGTCAACTTCTGAGCCCTCTTGTTTCAGTACCTTATTTGGATACAGCTGCCTATAAAATCCGAGCAGTTCTTGCAAACAAATGGGAAGAGCTTACAGCTCCTTAACAGCTCATGACGCAAGTTGCCTGAATTCCCAACCTTGCCTTCAAATTCCAGGGCGCAATTTCCAATCTATCTGGAGGACTGCAGCAAAATGTATTGTGCAGTCAACAGCTCACACACTGCATTTCTTCACACGATCCACCTGTTTGAGGATGGACAGAAAAATAATGTGGAGAAAGCAAGTGACGAACTAGCAGGAGTCAAGTGGACATCAATCAGACAGGCCTGAAAATGACATGTTTGGCTTGGGCCTAATTTTAGATTTGAACAATGGTATTGAAGGCCTGTGGAAATACTCCCAGCCCCACTGGGAGGCTATAAGGGGGAGAGGGCTGTTGTGCTCAGATCCTGCTTTTGGTTTTCCTGTAGGCATCTGGTTGGCCAATGTGAGAACAGAATGCTGTAAAAAATGGACCACTGGGTCTTCTTACACCCTTAGATTTGTCTTGTAGGGGGTTGGGCAAGAAGACCTTTGGCATCCTTTCCTACAATTCTATGACCCTAGGATGTTATACAATGTAAAATTAAAAACCAACTATCATGAATCAATTAAATCACATTAAAATAGCACAACAAACATAACATCAATTCAGTACATCAGGAATCAATAAAGTGGGATTAGATTAATGCCTCCCCCTGCCATGTCAGCGCAAAAAGATATTTTTTCCTGACATCAGAAGGAAGCCACCTCTGTGGATGGGGAAAATTCCACAGCCTGGGAGCTGACGCTATACAACGCAATGCATCTATTGATGGGACAACCAGCCAGGCCTCCCCGCAGAACACAAGTCCGAGATAGATCGATATGGCAACCTGTTGCATATTGAATTGAATTTAACATTTAATGTAACACATACTTTGTCCCACAGATGACCAATTTATAAAGCAATGTAATGCACAACAGGATAAACGCTACTTGGTAAATAATCAGCCTTTGGGAGCAAAGAGGGTTTCTTGCCAGTCTTCTGATTCTTCTGGGAGACTTTTACCAAGTCCAGAGCTCACTGAGAACTTGGAAGCAAAATATTATAGAAGTTAAAACTTCAAACTGGCCTCCTTTGTTTTTGCATTCAAGCTGAGAGAAGTTATGCAAGTAACAAGCTTGAACTGTTATAATTCAGTTTTCTAGTTTTTAGGCACACACAGCAAGGCATATGTTAGTCATGCAAATCTTCTTTCCTCCAGTTGTGTGTGCTGTTGGGCGAAAGCCTTTTTCACATGACAACTGTACAGCAGCCAATGAACACATGGAGGGGAATTCAGGTCGCACCTGCTCCCCTATTTCTGACCTGCATTATTCAACAGAAACTCTGAACAGAGCCAGGGATATACACACCTAGGCTCTGTGCACCTTTTGAAGGATTCCTGGTCACATGGGGAGCACCTATATTTGGCCATTGTACATCTATACATAGATGCTGGGAATGAGCACAATGGTTGCAATCCAAATCCTCCCTCCACAGGTTCCCTGAACATGCAGAAAGGGCTAGATTCATACGAAGGTTTTAGCCCAAGTTGCCAGTTTGGCACTTGAAAGCCATTCTTTCATTATTGCAACAACTAGCTATGATTAGGTCTCACCACAACTGGGGAAGCACAGATTCAGCCAGGATGTGGTCATCTGCTGTCTTGACACATGCTGGGATGCTCACAAGATCCACCATGCTCTCAGCACTACCATTGCATGGCACTGGTTGTCTTAATCCATGCAACACAAAAGTTTTATTTGTGCAGAGATAATTATGCCTGTAGTTATAAATGCATTGTTTTCAACTCAGATACAACTGCCTCTGAAGTAGTTTGCAATGGTGCGTATATTTAATTATGTACAGCATTTATATGCAATCCAGTAATAATGCTCTATGTCAATCAGCCTTTCCAATTCATCTAAGGTACAGGACCCCAGACGGTTAAGTCCAGACGAATTCGACTTTGGGGTGCAGCACTCATCTCCGCTTTCAGCCTGAGGGAGCTGGTCAAATTGCTAACCTTACGTTCGGCAAGCCCAAGAGGCTTCGGTGGTTCAGAACACACACACACACACCCATGTCCCTACCACCACCAAAATTGCCTCTCTTTCCAACCTTCCAAGCAAGCAGGGCAGATCCAGAACTCTTTCACATTAACCTCTGAAACACACTGTGCTTTGATGAGTTATGCATTTTTCTGTAATATCTGTTACGTTGCTGATCTGTTGCAAAGCCACTCTGAGCATAATGGTGGCAGGAAAGGGGCATATAAATAAACTTGACTGATACTTTCGGAAAACCGAGACTATTTCAGGAGGATTCCACCACTGACCCCAAACTAGTAATAATGCAATTAGGGCCCTGCAATGATGTGATTACCCTCGGTTAAAAGAAAACAATCACAGGGTGGGATGGGGTCATGTCACTCCACTTCTCTCCTGGGGCAAGCTTGTTGCAGTGAAAACACCAAGAAAATGTGTGTGGAATTAAATCTTCAGGGTATCAGCGCTATGTGAGACTCTTTGAGACGTTATTTTGGGACAGATTGACTCCCTCGGGGGAATTTTTTCCATAGGACTCCTTGATCCCAGTCCCACCCTCGCTGACATAATGAGCTCTCTGTTCTTTCCCCGGCTGCACTCTTGGTTCCTATCCAGTCTCTATATTGTTACAGCTGCTGGGTGACCCTTCTTTGCTAAGGTGATTGCTTATTAATAGTCACGAACAATAGGCTGATGTTCCCTCAAGAGGAACTAACCGTTGGAGATGTTTTCCCAGATGGGTAGCTTACCTGCAAGACGGCTTCTGCGGCCAGTTCTCAGCCAGCGTTGTCGTAGGGGAGGAAAAGGGCCTGCACACTGAGCCTGCGACAGAGAAGAGAGTTTTTATTTGGAGCCGACTTCAACCCTCCAAGTATGGTCTAAAACTAAAGGCACATTGCTGAAGCTAGGCAGGTGCAAGTGTGGTCCTTGCTTGGACAGGTGAGCACTGCAGAGATGTCTGTTGCACTGAGCTCCTGCTCGAGGGCTTTGCAGTAGAAGTGCCTATTTGCTTGCATAATTGCATATGTTTATTTTAAAGGCAAAGGTAAAGGGACCCCTGACCATTAGGTCCAGTCATGACCAACTCTGGGGTTGCGGCACTCATCTCGCTTTATTGGCCAAGGGAGCCAGCGTACAGCTTCCGGGTCATGTGGCCAGCATGACTAAGCCACTTCTGGCGAACCAGAGCAGCACACGGAAATGCTGTTTACCTTCCCGCTGGAGTGGTACCTATTGATCTACTTGCACTTTGATATGCTTTCGAACTGTTAGGTTGGCAGGAGCAGGGACCGAGCAATGGGAGCTCACCCCGTTGCAGGGATTCGAACCGCCGACCTTCTGATTGGCAAGTCCTAGGCTCTGTGGTTTAACCCACAGCGCCACCCACGTCCCTTATGTTTTTTATATGGATGCCGTAAAGCCTCCTGCTGTCTCTTGTCCAAAGAAAAGCAAATCATGTAGGGCTGCTTCTCCAGAAAGAGGGAACGATATTTCTGCCTTGATATCTTCAAGGCCTATGGGGCTGTCACACTGCATCCATGCCATTCTCCCTCCAAGCCAGACTTACAGGTGAAACTCGAAAAAATAGAATATTGTGGAAAAGTTCATTTATTTCAGTAATTCAACTTAAAAGGTGAAACTAATATGAGATAGACTCATGACATGCAAAGTGAGATATGTCAAGCCTTTAGTTGTTATAATTGTGATGATTATGGTGTACAGCTGATGAAAACCCCAAATTAACAATCTCAGAAAATTAGAATATTGTGAAAATGCAGTAGCTATTCAATCCATAACACCTGCAATGGGTTCCTGAGCCTTGAAATGGTCTCTCAGTCTGGTTCAGTAGGAAGCACAAACATGGGGAAGGCTGCTGACCTGACAGTTGTGCAGAAAGCCATCATTGAGACCCTGCATAAGGAGGGAAAGCCTCAAAAGGTGATTGCAGAAGAAGTTGGATGTTCCCAAAGTGCTGTATCGAAGCACGTTAATGGAAAGTTACGCGGAAGGGAAAAGTGTGGAAGAAAAAGGTGCACAAGCAGCAGGGATGACCGCAGCCTGGAGAGGATTGTCAGGAAAAGACCATTCAGACATGTTGGGGACTTTCACAAGGAGTGGACTGAGGCTGGAGTTAGTGCATCAAGAGCCATCACACACAGACGGATCCTGGAGATGGGCTTCAAATGTCGTATTCCTCTTGTCAAGCCGCTCCTGAACAAGAAATGTCAGAAGCGTCTTACCTGAGCTAAAGACAACTCTATGGCAGGCATCTTTTCCCTTACACCGGTTTCTCCTCTGCTTCTTTATCATTAACATCCTCATATCATAACATCCTCGTAAACTATTTCAATATGCTATGGTTGCAGCTAGGATCCTCGTGGCTCAAAAGTGGAAATCACAGGAGACCCCAACGGTAATGGAGTGGCAGACTAAATTTTTTGAGTATACAGAATTAGCTAAAATGACATAAAATTCGAGATCAAAAAGGGACAAAGTTTGAAGAAGAGTGGGGTAAATTTGTTGCATACATAAGAATTAACTGTAGAAGTCTAAAAACTGTAGCAGGGTTGACATAAATCCTGTGATGTGTATAGAAGGTAAATAAGAATCTGCAAGAGAAGATATATACTGTACTAAGAAATCCAAAGCAGGGAAGGAAGGAAGTCTGGGCGTGAATTTACGCAGTGTAAATAAGACGACACAAAATGATGACTGTAAAAGATTAAGTTTTATTTGTTTGTGAAAAATTCAATAAAAAGCATTTTTTTAATATCTATCTATCTATCTATATATCATTAACATCCTCACTACACGCCCCGTGTCTAAATGAACTTCCTATTCGTTTCTTGAGCTGGGAGTCAAAGGCAGATGAAGATGATGGACTTTTGGGAGCTGGCCGACCTGACCGGAAGAGTCAGTGACCAGAAAGAGGAGTACCAAGAAGAATGAATGAAATTTAAAGAATATTTAGTTAAATATGCTAAGATAATTTAAATAGAAACACTTGCAAATACCAGATTGGCTTAGGATATATGTGATTTTATATAATAATATGTTTAAAGTTTATAGGAAAAGTAAGAAAGAAGTTAATTGACTAAGTAAATTTTATGAGAAATTAGTCTTGGAAAACTGTTACAATGATATACATGGAAATTCAGCCAGGGGGATTTGAGGAAGTCACCGAACAATGTTAATAATTGTGGAATAATTACAGTTAGGATTTATGTGTGTTTGTTTATAAATTTGGAAAATCAATAAAAAAAATTGGGGAAAAAAGAGCTGGGAGTCAAGGGCAGAATAGAGACGTTAGTAGGGATAGCGTTAAAGATCTATAGGTATCAGACGGTAGTCATAGCAGTGTAGAGTTGGAAAGGACTCCAAGGGGTCATCTAGTCCAACCCACAGCAGGACTCGAACCCACAACCGTGAGATTAAGAGTCTCACATTCTGCCAACTTAGCTATGACCTGTTTATTGAGCATTCACCCTCATTTGTTTGCAGGGACCCGTGCCCCACACTTTCCCATGCATTTCCCTCTCACTTGTCATAAAAACAGTATTTTGGAGAAAGCGAGCTGTTTCTGCAAATTTCTGGTTATGACCTGAATTTCCCATTAAGTGATAGTGGTCGATCTGCAACAACTGGAGGACACCAGGTTGGCAAAGGTTGAAACATACACGTATCTATTTATACACACGTGTATCTATGTATTTATTAAGGGCTGCCAACCAGGTGTCTCTTCGGGCTGGTTTATTCTGTGGCTTTGTAATTGTTTTGTTTTATCGTGTATTTTCTATTCTCATTGCGCACCTTTCTCCTGTTAACCGCCCTGGGATCCTCGGGCGAAGGGCGGTTTGCAAAGGAGACGAAACGAAGGCGGGTCAGTTACGTTAAGTCGGCAAGATCAAGATTTTGTAAATCAAGAAAATCTTTAAGAAAGAAAAAGAAAAAGGGGTTGCATTCCCCAGACCCCATCATTGGCCCCAGAGACCACAATAAAAATATAAAATGAAGAAAAAAGGGAAAAGAAAAAGTTCCCCAGCCAGGCAGCCTGACTGAAACCCCTCGTTGAGGACCACACAGCCCTGCGAGGGTCTCCCCGCAAGCCCCCATTGCTGTGGGGCGGGAGAGCGCCTGTGAGGTAAATCGCCTCAGAGCGGCGGCTTCCCGCGCTTTTCCCCTCCCTCCTTCTTCCCTCAGGAGTCCCGGCAGCCTCCTCCTCCTCCCCCCGCCTCCCCGCTCCTCCTTTCCCGCCCACGGGGGAGTCCCGGATGTTGGCCCCGCGCCCCCGCTCCTCCGCCGTCCGCTTCCATAAAAGGGCAGCGGCGCCTCCCTCCCTTCTCCCCCCCCCCGCCGCCCCGCCTCGGGCCTTTCTGGCCGCCGCCTCCTCCTCCCTCCTCCTCCTCCCTCCCCTCAGGCGGCGCCCCGGGGGCGGGGAAGGCTCCCGTCCTGGCGGCGTCCGCGGCGGTGGCCAGAAGCGAGAAGAAGCGCCCTCCGCCTCCTCCTCCCACGAAGGGACGCTCCCCGGCCGAGGAAGAAGAGGAGCCCAGCCCGGCAGGCGAGTCGGGGGGGGCGGGGGGGGCGCGAAGGGTCTCTCTCTCTCTCTCTATGTGTGCGGGAATTTGTGCGAACGTGTGAATGGTGCGTGTGCGTGAACGCGCCGTGTTTCACGCGTGCATTGCGGGCGAGGGAGTGCGTGTGAATAGGACGGGGCTTTGTGTCTGCGAGGGGTTTTCGTATGTATGAATTTGGGGGTGGGGGGTGGGCTCTGCTTCCCCACCCTTTAAAGATAATGGGAAGCTGAGGGGGTTGCCTTTCTCTCCCCTCCCCGGCCATTCCCCACTTGTAGGTCGAGGGGCGCATCCCTGCCCATGCCCATCCTTAAGGCACTGCGTTGTGGGGCTGGGTGTGGGTGCGACTGGGGGTCGTGGTTGTCTATGGCTATGTCTGCCTGACCCCCCTTTCCTCGTCTCTCCCTTTCCCTCCTCCCCCCATTTTCCCCTCGGGTTTCTTTTCCAGAGTCTCTTTGCATGAGACCCTCCTCTGGATGGAGGTTATTGTGGGCCAAAGTCGGGTCTTCCTCTCTTCCTTTTTCTCCTTTTCCCTCCATCTCCTCCACCCCTGCCTCCCCATCCCTCTTGCACAGCCGGAATAGAGCTTCCCTTGTTCCTTTCGGACTCTCTCTCTCTCCGCCCAAGCGAAGTCTTGGCTGCTATATAGAGTTGCCCTTGACTCGCCTTTAAAATACCATTAATAATAGTAGTAGTAGTAGCAATATCTGTATTTTCTAGGAGGGAAGGGCTCAGGAGACCCTTTTATGGGTCAAGGGGTGGCGCTCTTTTTCCTGCGGAGGGGTTACTATCCATTTCTAATTTTTCGCACCCCTTTTAGCACAGATGTTGGAGGGGATGTGCAGACTCAGGGTAATAAGGAGGGAGCGTGTCACGCATCCGTGTTGAGTGAGTGCCCTGGTGAAAATTGATAGTATGGATGATGTGTGCCCCCCCCCCACACACACAGAGAGAGAGAGAGAGAGAGAGAGAAGGTGAACAGTAAACAAATAAGGAAAACATTGTGTTGTACGTGTAGGTGAGAAGCTGAATAAGGGCATTGTAATCCCTCCTCTAAATATATTAGGCAGAGTTGGGGCTAAATAAGGTTTTGGTTTGCATTGCCTTCATGCTTGCGTTCTTCCAGCAAGTTTGCAGTCCGACTCTGCCCTCCCCCACCAATTGCCTCACTAAGTTCTTTGTAAATTGAGCCATGTGTTGGGAGCTCTCAGCCTTTTCTCCTCTTCTTTCTTCTTCTTCTTCGCAGCTGACTTAAGGAAAGCTTGTTTGCCTTCGCTGGATTTGGCTCCTTCATGCTTTTCCTTCAGTAAATGGGAAGCAGGGAGAGGCGTATGAGCTGCGAGTGTGAGGCTTCTGCTTAGCTAATGAATGCCGTTTCCTCTGCTACTTGCTTGCAGGAAGGAGGAACGATGGCTCTGGACGGTATACGGATGCCAGATGGCTGCTATGCGGATGGGACGTGGGAGTTAAACGTCCATGTCACAGACCTGAACAGAGATGTAACTCTGAGGGTCACAGGAGAGGTCCATATTGGCGGCGTCATGCTGAAATTGGTGGAAAAACTTGGTAAGTTGTAACTATTAGGGGGAAAGGTGTGGCCTTTCTCCTTGCTTTGGTGGAAGCTGGAAGGCGAAGCGCTGGGTGTGGAAATGAAATTGCATATTTGCATCGCACATGGGACTGATTTCAGAAACCCATAACTATTTTTAAATGCCAGTTTTTTTGTTAGAGAAACTTGATATTGGATCTCTTTCTCTAGCAGGCAGAATACAGGCCACCTCTGAGTCTAACCCTTCTCCTGGTTAGCTACCATACTTTCTGTAGTTTGTACAATGGCTGCTGGATTCTTTACAATACTTGCACATAAATGCAAGTGTGATAGTATTTACAGGGACATGTAATGACAAGTAGTAGAAGGTGCCATCCTGGGTCAGTGATGTGGCAGAGGCGAAGGAGTCATTGGTCTAAGGATCTTGGATTTGACCATACATGTGTTTAAACGTAAAGGCTGATTTTTGCAGTCAGAAGAACTACATAAACTGTGCTTGTATGTTTAAGCTTCACATAGAGGATTTACCCATAGATGGTGTGCCCCCCCTTCCTCCAAAACTCCTGAGCTTCTGAGAGGGGAATAGACTTCACATGAAATACCAGAAATGCACTGCACGTGACTGAAGGAATCTAGGCTAGCATTGTTTTCACTGCAAATTAGGGGAAGTTTCTCAGATATGATAGGTGGCTTCTAAATTCTAGATTAATGAATGCTCCATTGTATGTGGCTGTTCCTTTTCTTTGGACTCATTAAGTTCAGTTTCTAGGAATTTAGACCAAGTGATAGAAAAGGAGGGTCTGTGCTGGTTATTACAAAAACATTAAGATCGTTAAGCAGGGCAATGTTTACTATGGTAAACAGTTATTAAAATGCTTATTCCTGCACACGCCCCCCCCAAAAAAAACTTCTGACTGTCTGAAAAAGTCATTGCAGTGTTATTACAGCTAGCTACCTCTCTTAGGCAAGTGTATGGTGTTATGGCTTAGTGCAGCCTCCTGCGTTAGAGAGTGTCCTAGGCTATGTCAGGCACCTGTTAATGAGACATGGTAGCTGTTGCTATACAGCAAGTTGTACAGTACTGCCATTAGAACATTTCTGCTTGGCGCATTATGCCTAGTGAGCTTTCATCAATGTGTTCTGCATTTTGTGGAGTGCACTGTGGTTCAGTGCTGGTAAAAGATGCTGAGGTTTATACAGTTGGTAATCTGATGCTTTCCTTCCTTAATAATGCATTTGAGTCTGAATAGTATACTAGTTTAAAACACAACATCCTTATCAGCTCCGCAGCACACTTCTGGTGCTATGTAAATACTTGATTTGCTGGCTAGTTATGTACACAAGTCATAGCTGGTGCAGCTAAAAAGAAAGAGCCGTCCTGCACTGTACTAAAACTTTGTACTGATGTAATAAGGAAGGAAAAGCAGATATAAATACTTGGTTCAAAAGGAAGTTTGTGTGTGCGTGAAGGACTCTGAGGCTTGACATGGCTTGTGGGACTGTAGAAAATCAGTTTTAGAAATATTTTTTTGTCCTTGGGTTATGAAAAGAATGTTTCAAGGTGATTGCAGGCTTCAGCACTTAAAGTTGTTCAGCCTCTTCAAATATTAAGCGAAGAAGCACCACAGTCTCTTACATAATGAATAAGTCATGCCTTCTATTGGCTTTGCGTGTCATTGATGAGAATTGTCCACATGTGTATAATTTGCTCAAAGTATAGGATGGAATTCAGTGGAGACAGCAAGTTTTTAAGATGCTCTGTGGGATGAGTTTAATCGCCCTCCACAGGATAAAAGCTTACTTGAAGTTCAAACATATATTTTGGGAGGCCATCCTCATTCTAACTCTTAGAGTTCTGTGTAAATGTCTCATAATGAGGATCAGGCGTGAGTCTCTTTTGCAGTGGGCTTTATAAAGCTCTGGAAGCAGGTTGTGTAAGCTTGCTGTTTTGATAATGTGTAGATCATGCTGGGGTCAAAGTCCCCTCTACAAGCCAGATGAAAATAGTGGAAACTTTTTTACAATACCTTTGACCTTGGATGTAGGCCAGGTTGTAATATCTATCAAGTTAAAAGCTAACAGGACCATACAAGTAAAAACAGTTCTGAAACTTGGGATAGTTATGGCAGCTGTGTTTTTTTAAAAAATAGAACTACATTTCTTTAAACTGGCCTTTAAAAGATAATGACTGTAAACGGAAACTATGAAAAAAGTTATATTTCCAGCGTTGTCTTTTTGTCCATCCTGTTTGTTCTGAAAAATCTTGGGATAGCAGTGTGTTTGGAATAGAAGTACTTTGTATGCATCTTCTCATTAACTCTGTAAACAATGCAGCTTTCTGATTGCTTCCATTTAGCAGAAGAACATCTGTTTGTGGAGGATAAGTCTCTAATCAGAATGACAATAAATTTGTAGTGGTCACTTCTGTAGCTGTAGCTCAGTGGCTTTCCTTGCAGAAGGTCCCAGATTCCATCCCTGGCAACTCAGGTAGGGCTGGGACTATCAACGCCAATCTGTGAAAACCAGGGGTTCCCTGGTCCGTGAACTTTGTCAGATATAATATTCATATATACATTTTAATTGTATTCTTGTTTTTATTACTTACTGATTGTACTATATTGTATTCCACGGTAATCGAACTGTAATACAATAAAATACAATTTTATTAGAAATAAGCAATATATACAATTAAAATAATACACCATCTAGCACAGTGCAGATCATTGTTAAAAACAGCCAGAAAATTTATTAAGTGGTCAACCAAGGTGAAATGTTTGGGGATTACTGGTGTGGACAGTATTTAAATGGATGGTCCAATGGTCTGACTCGTTATAAGGCTACTTTCTATATTCCTAACTAATTCACTGCAAATTAATGTTTGCTTTGTGGGATGGCTCAGGGGTAGAGCACATGCTTTGAATGCAGAAGTTCTCACATTCAATCCCAATCATCTCCAGGTAGGACTGGGAGAGATCCTTTCTGGAATCCTGGGAAGCCACTGCCAATCAGGTGGGACTGAGCTAGATGGAACAATGGTCTGACTCTGTATTAGGCAGTTTCCTGTCTTCTCTCT